GCATTTGGGAGTGCCAACGACCGTAGGGCCATGTCCATTGCAAACGTCCATTCTTTGAATGTAGCGGAATCTCCTCCAAACACAGGCGGCTCTTTCGTAAGGCGGGGTGTTGGCTCCCACGGTTCCGAGTTCGGATGTATCGTTCGGTTTCCTTGGCTAACGCGCTGAGCGGTCTTGATATCGTTTATCAGCCGAACGACGAGTACGAGGAGCGTAAGCAGAGCGACCAGAACACCTGCCAAAAGCAGAGTAGTAACCATCCTCTGCTACCAGTGTAACAGGTTTAATAAAACCTGAAAAGTAAGAGGCCTGGTTGAGCGTGCCTCGACCAGTTATATGCAAAATGTGATAGTATACATGTGGCAATGGCGCCAATGAAGGTGCTAATAGACAGGCGTAAGACGCATGAGGTGCGAGGGAGTGTAAAGTTATAGAGAACAGGGGAAAACTGTTACAGCTGTGCTCCGGATGGCAGTCGTGAGTCAGTCAAGTGTCAAGTTCGGCAAGAAGCGTGTGTTCCTAGTTGGAACAATCAACTTCATGATTATTATTGGTGTACTAGCTGTGCCGACAATCCATGATCTGGCGTCACAGGTCATCAGTGCGCCGTGTTAATAATTACCTTGACAATGGAATTTGATCATAGGAGATAGGACAGAAGCGGAACGTATAATTATACCCACATAATTATATTATTACGCGTGCTGTGGTATTATTATTATTGTTATTATTAGCTGTGCTAGTACTTGTTAGCAACAATCCAAACTAGCGCACACACTGCACTGCATTGCTTTGTACTGCAGTCAAGACTGACGTCATGCGCTTTGTTTTGCTGCGTAATCACAAATGGCACCAGCCCATTTTGCGGAAAAGAAAAACAAATCTTGCTTGCCCTGTTGTGCTCTTCCAGACAACGGATCGTGCTTCAGCAGTGTTTCTTTTCCCACCATCCTCCCTATCCAACTTATTCACACCATCATTATTGTTACCGTACCCACTAATCGGGTCCACTCTCACAACTGGTGTTATCTAGCTATAGCTGCGGCTCTGCCTTGCGCTATATTACATCCATCAAGCATTGCAGCTCTACGTTGAGCTAACAGCAGCTCTACTTTGAGCTAACAGCAGCTCTACCTTGAGCTAACAGCAGCTCTACTTTGAGCTAACAGCAGCTCTACTTTGAGCTAACCGCAGCTCTACTTTGAGCTAACAGCAGCTCTACTTTGAGCTAACAGCAGCTCTACTTTGAGCTAACCGCAGCTCTACTTTGAGCTAACAGCAGCTCTACTTTGAGCTAACAGCAGCTCTACCTTGAGCTAACAGCAGCTCTACTTTGAGCTAACAGCAGCTCTACTTTGAGCTAACAGCAGCTCTACTTTGAGCTAATCGCAGCTCTACTTTGAGCTAACAGCAGCTCTACTTTGAGCTAACAGCAGCTCTACTTTGAGCTAACACAAGCTCTGCTCTGAGCTAACAGCAGCTCTGCTCTGAGCTAACAGCAGCTCTACTTTGAGCTTCAAACCAGTTGTTTCGAAACCAGCACTCCTCAATCCAAAGATGCCTCTTTGTTGACTTGTTTGTGTGAGGGATGGGGCTAATATTATTTATTATTATCTCTCCTTTATTCACTTCTTTCGAAGGCGATAAGCCAGACACACCGGGAAATATTTCCATGGGTGGGACAGCAAAAAAGAAAGTGAAAAAACAAAAACAAAATAAATAAATAAATAAAACCTAAAAACCAAAGAGACAAGAACTAGGTGAAGGAAGAGGAAGAAAGGAAAGAAACTCAATCCGAACTCCAACATCAAAACAATAATAAAGAATTTGCAGCGACAGGCAAAATACATCAACCAATGAAGGGAGTAGTAACAAAGGAGATATCAGTCTTTATCAGTCGTTATTCAAGTCTCTTAGCTATTGAACATGCAAACGCAGCAGAGGTGCATCTACATGTTAAGGATAGTTCTTAGTATTTTAATCGAACCTTGTATAGCCTCCTGTTGCACAATAGCTAGGTCTCCTCCCTGCACAGTCCGAAGGCATTGAGGAGTCTCCCCCACCAAGCCTCCCAGGGCACCGACAACCACAGGGACCACGTCAACCTGGGTGAGGGGCCAAATCCTCGAAATCTCCCGCTTCAAATCATAATATTTCGAGCGCTTTTCAGCCATTTTCTTATTGATGTTGTTCTCACCAGGAACGCTGATGTCTATAATGTAGGCGATGCGCTCCTTGTCATCAACAAGGAGCAGATCGGGCCTGTTTGCTGATAGTTTCAGGTCAGTTGGGACCGAATACTCCCAATAGAGGCGATACTGATCACTCTTGACCAATGCCTTGAGCTGGTGGTCGAATCGTGAAGCACCAGTAGGTAGATCTCGTGCTTTACACATTTCGAAGTGCACATACTTTACTATCCGGTTATGTCGTTCAATGTAACTGGTCCGAGCAAGAACTGGGCAGGCACTGACAATGTGGTCAATTGTTTCTAAGCTGCCCTTGCAAAGCCTGCAATTGGCATCAGTTCGAGCAATTGACTTCATTATGGCGTATTGGTAATTTTTCGTTTTGAGGGATTGGTCTTGTGCTGCCATAATCATGCCTTCAGTTGAAGGTTTCAGTGTCCTTGACTTCAACCACATGAAGGTAAGCTCCTTATCTAGGCGATTCTCCTCCAATCGGCTCCAATATCTCCCATGCAGCGGCATAGTGGAAAGTGTTATTATTATTATTATTATTATTATTATTATCAAATGTTTGATAGGGCAATCCCCACAGGCCTAAGGCCTTCTTACAGGGTACCCTAGAAAAGAAGGTACTGAATTACGGAATAGGTGCAGTGAAGAACATAAGCGGACTGCAGCGGGGAGTGCATTCCAACGGTCGGAACGGATGAAAGAAACTGAAAAGAGACCGTCGAGGCGGCAAAAGGTGATCCAAAAAAGTGGTTTCTCGGTAGAGGCCGCTACGAGGCGATTTAAAAAAATATATCACAGGCCGGAAGAAACGAGTGTATTTTTACCTTGGTAGTAAATCGCTTTGATACTGGATGGACCTAGAGGCCTCGTAGAGTGCGGAGGGATCAGCCGGTATCAAATTTACTCCATAAAATACTACTCTTGGCAGACGTACATGTACATCTCATATTGCATGCTGATGATGGAAATTCGCCGAAACGTCGAAAATGATACAGTCAACTAAGTAGTTAGTCGTGAATTTGCAGTGTCCAGGGAAAGAGCATGTGTGCTCACCATTTCTCACTGGCTGACACAGGTCCTGTTTTGCAAAGTATTGGTTGACAGGTGCGTGCATTTGGACTATCACTGCAGGCTGTGTAGGATGTCTGAGTGTCTGTGCATGGTACTATTAGACCAACACTGTACATGGTACTATTCAGCAGTAGACCAACAACATGTCTGTACACGTATCAGTGTGAACAAGCCTCTTGTTATACGGGCAATCACAGAACATCTACACTGTTGAGTGTTTCCATGCAATACTAGTAACAGAACATCTGCACTGTTTGAGTGTTGTGTCCATGCTAGTAGTAACAGAACATCTGCACTGTCGAGTGTTGTGCCCATGCAATACTAGTAACGGAACATCTGCATGTATGGGTCTCATGACGGGGTATATGTAGATCTACATGTACCTGGATTGCATGTGAGGAATTCAATTCAGTCTGGACGCATCGAGTTCATGTTCTTCGAGTTTTAATCTAGTTGGTCACGCCGGCCTGTGCAGCGCAGAGAGAAGAGACAGTACGTCATGCTCTTGATTGAGGCAAAGTGTTCATGCTGAGCCCAGTGTCCAGTTCGCATTCTTACGAAAGCGGCGTGCAACTATCACTTACTACTTTATACTAGTGTTTGGTCTATTTTTTTAAACTTATTTTTAGGAACACAGCCCCATGTACTGTGTGATCAGTCAGTCGTGTTGAGTCACTTTCTAGTACTTACTTTTAAAGCACCTATGCTTAGTACTGGGTCTACCCTGGTGACAGAGAGCCTCCAGTTAACGTGCTCATTACCACATCCATGTGGATGGGGTTCGTCGTGTCTTGTTGCTGGGCGCGTTCAGACTGGCGTGAAAAGCAAGCGGAATGTGAAAGTAAGTTGTCAACCCGCCAGCGTAAACACGGAAAAGGTTTCCCACCACTCTGCAGGCCGGTGGAATGCAGATTCCGGCGGCACTCGGAGCGCTTTTGATATCCTTGCAGCACATGTTCCGTCTTTTCGTTTTATTTCAGCCTCTACTCTTTCAGTCTGACTGCATGCTTTTGAGTTTTGAGTTTTGACTTCTAGACTGCCAACTTCTCCCATCATGCCGAAATCTTTGTTCGACTCAGCAATGGAGAGAGAGAGTTCATGGAGCTGTACGTGGTGATTTTTGCGGGCCGCTCTGCAGGCAAAACGCTTACTGCGAACGAGAAGCATACTCTGATCGCGGAGCGGATGAATGCCACCCAAGCACCAAACACTCCGGACATAGTATTCTTTCCGTCGACAAGCACAAGCAAAAGCACAATGATACAGTATCTCAACAGACTGAATTAGTTTATTTTGATATCCAACTCAAACTGAGTCAACTCAAATTTTTCAAATGTCGAAACTTCACATGTACTGGCCATTCCAGCGGGATACACGTGCAGTGTGATCGCGATTTCCGGGATTACGCTGCAGCTTTCCGGCGGCTATTCACGCCAGTCTGGAGGCGCAGAGGGCACTCATAGATCATAATAGAACGTACAGGAGCAAGTAAGTGATTGTAGGGCAGAGGTGAAGTACATGTAGTTAGCAGCTACATTGCACACTATAACAAGCTCGCCTTTGTTGAGACACGTACCGGTGAGCATCGTCATCGTAGGAGATCCAGAACCATGGGCCAGACGGCCATCCAACATGCAACAACAACATCCAAGAAATGGAAAGGCAGGCCGTCGTACACGTTCACGCCCCCCCCCCCCCCCACCAAACAAAACAGCGACCTATGTCCTTACAGGCGCAGTCTTCCATTCACACAGCTGCCCGCTGATATCCGGTTCACCTTTTCTCTGCAAGGTTCCAAAAGGGAAGGAATCACATCTCTGGGCTGCTATAAAGGAGAAAACTGAGTACCATTGCTATAAGAAGACAGGGAAGGCGAAGGAAGAGTATTAAAATTCTGTTGGCTACAGTTTTAAAGGTAGCTGGATTTTCACTGCCCGTTTCACCAGGACGCCCTCTTCGTGCATTGCATAATCTTGCAGCGAGTTCAAGCATGGCGCATCAACTGGATCCTCTGTCCCTTGCCTTTCTGGCGTTCGCTATGCTTCTGCTGGTGTCTGGTCACATGGTTAACGGTACGTAACAGAAATCCTATTACCGCTGTACACGTGTTTAGGCCTTGACAGATTATGCTAGCATAATTTTTCGCATAATTCCTACCAAAATCGAATAATCGCAAAATTCGAGGCAAATTGCATACGAATCGCATAAAATTGGAATAATCCGCCTGTTCGCATCAATTAATTCCATACAGTTGTACATGTTCTACAAGTACAAGTACAAGTAGATGCACCAGGAAGGCGTAGGTTTACGACTCCCTTGATAACATGTCCAGTCCACTACAATCAGTGACCAGGGTGACCGTCGTAGCTAGGTCGGACGGTGCGGTGACCCCGTTGAACTTTTGCTTCTACAGTACAACGCCCTCTACAAAACAATTCCCCTGTTATTTTGCACAGAACCATCATATACATTAGCAGCATATGTGAGCATAATGCGGCATAATATGATAACTTTTAGCATAAAAATAGCATAATACTGCAATTTTTTCAGCAATGCGAAAAGCATAATTTCACGAAAATATTAGCATAATCTGTCAAGGCCTAAATTCTGCTGACATATAACTATTTCCTCCTTTGTGGACTCAACAGTGCAGCACAGCGGAAATGACACCGAACCTGCTAGCAATGAAAAATCAATTTTCCAAGAGTGCTCAAATGGACAAGTCAGTGAGCTCTGTATAATGCATGTATCTCGGTAGGGGGTGCTTACAGTCAAAATGAGAATAAAACAGAGAGGTTCCAGGCTGTCCAAGAGAGTGCTCAATACCGAAGGGTGGCCGTAGAGCTGGTTCAAACAATAGGAGGACAGAGAAAGTGTTTTTACTCCGAGTTTCACGCACTAAGCGACCATCAGAAACTAGTGCAACTCGGAGTAAAAACACTTTCTCTGTCCCCCTATTGTTTAAAAATGAGAATAACAAGTTGTGTCGGCTAGGGTCTACTACTACTGTATCACTTTTTTATTTTTTACCTTCACCCAGTGTGACTACGACAGTATTCACTTCGTCTTAGGGTTAGACGACATGGGAAAGTTGCCATACTGCATGGGGTGGTGAGCCCGCCTTTCGGCACCGGGGAAAGCAGCTCGTTCGACTGTATCACGTTGCAAACACGCGTGCCCCCTGTCAAGTACCATTATAGTTGTGTCTGCTCTCTACTTTCATAACTCATTGGTATGTACATGTACAGTAAACTTGGCTAATAACGACTGCGGATATAACGACAATTCGCGAATAACCACAGAATTTCCATGCCCAGAGCAAAGTCCCATCCAACTGTAATAAATATAATGAGACTTCGGGTATAACGACACTTCGCGAATAAGGACGCTTTTTTGATGCCCCGCCGAATGTCGTTATAAGCGAAGTTGATCGTACATACAGATGATCGATTTTGGTCTGAGGTAATAATATTTATAGGATATTGACCAAGACGAGGTCTATATTTCCCATATAGACCGAAGTCGAGGTCAATATCCTATTTATCACGATTCCTTTGCCATAACCCCAAAATTTGAACCTTTAGGAGCTATTTTTACATTTTTAGTATAGCATTTGTACTATAGTGTACATAGGATGTTGCCTATTTTGGGTACAAGACTGTAAGAACAACTGGGTTCAGCATCTGCAGCACAGTAGCTGGGTGGTATAAGGGGTTGCTTTAGATTCATACTGTTGTGGGTTCGGATCCTGCTTGTTCTCTTCCTTTGTCTTCTTTCTTTCAACTTTTCTTTCTGAAGTGGAGAAACAAATTCTAAGTCCCTCCAAAGTCGAAAGATTACAATGCCTAAGTGGTCGATACAAGCGGTCGATACAAGCGGTCGATATTGCGGCGATATGGGTAATATAGGACCAGTCAAGGATCACGAGAATTAGTGGAGGTCGATATAGAAGAGTGATAATGTACAGTATTGTAGAGTCGATGAGAATACAAAAGTTGTAAATTCGCAAACAGTAAGCACTGACATCGTATACATAATACGTTCGCGCATCTGCACACAACATCAAGTGACAGTATTTTGGATCGTGACAATCATCAGTTAGAATACGTCACTGAATGGTGAACAAACAACATCAGAGTAATAGACAAGTAGATGTGTCAAGCGAATGCACAGAGTAAGAAAACTGTTGAAGAAAACAGTCCTAAAACACTGTTCCTTTGTTTTGGGTGTAGAGGCATGAATTTAATAGGATGACAGCACATCATATAGTACAGTCTTCCATTCTTTATTTTACTTCGCAAAAGTCAAACGGGATCATAGCCCAAGGATATTACAGTACTGGCAACTGAAATCCGACCCCCTGAGCGGTGCGCTCACATCGCAAAGAATGTGTGTGTTTATTTCTTCTTTCTTATACATGTATGTCTACTACTTTTCTTTTGTTGATTTGGCCGTGGTTGCCTATCACCCCTCTCGCATTGCTTGCCACGAGATGATAATGCAATAATAATAATAATAATGTAAAAGAGAAAAGGACATATGGATACGAGTTAAGAGTAACTCTCCACCACTGTAACTGGATACTATATACAGTCAGAAAGTGCAATAACTAGGCACAAAACTGACAGAGTACTGAGACATTCGACGTCCTAACACCTGACTTCAACACATCTCCGTAGTGCTAACCGACAGCCTTCCAACTTGGAAGGTTCAAGGTTATGGAAAGACCAAAGAGGGGAAGGCAAGCGCAACGAAAACGAGCAAAAGCTACAGTCCCAACGGAACAAAGAATGTCGATTGTTACAGTACGATATTTGACAAAGCGGTCTAACTACAATTCGAAGCAGCAAAGCAACACACCACCCAACTTGGGTGGGTCATAAATATCAAAGATAAGTAAAGAAAGGGAAGCTTTGCGAAAACGAATTGTACAAGCCGAAAGCCAAACTCCTACAGTACTCCTCATGCATGACATTGTGATGGACTAGTTGACTACAACACAAGTTGTTTCACACGACGTACGTACGTTTATGGCTCAACATCCGAGTTTCAAATAATAATAATAATAATAATGTAGAAGAGAACAGGACATATGGATACGAGTTAAGAGTAACTCTCCATCACTGTAACATGATACTTTATACAGTCAGAAAGTGCAATAACTAGGCACAAAACTGACAGAGTACTGAAACATTCGACGTCCTGACACCTAGCTTCAACACATCTCCGTAGCGCTAACCGACAGCCTTCCAACTTGGAAGGTTCAAGGTTATGGAAAGACCAAAGAGGGGAAGGCAAGCGCAACGAAAACGAGCAAAAGCCACAGTCCCAACGGAACAAAGAATGTCGATTGTTACTGGACGATGACGAGACCAGTACGATATTTGACAAAGCGGTCTAACTACAATTCGAAGCAGCAAAGCAGCACACCACCCAACTTGGGTGGGTCATAAATATCAAAGATAAGTAAAGAAAGGGAAGCTTTGCGAAAACGAATTGTACAAGCCGAAAGCCAAACTCCTACAGTACTCCTCATGCATGACATTGTGATGGACTAGTTGACTACAAAACAAGTTGTTTCACACGACGTACGTTTCGCCGTATGGTTCGTGACGGCACTTTCTGACTGTATAAAGTATCATGTTACAGTGATGGAGAGTTACTCTTAACTCGTATCCATATGTCCTTTTCTCTTCTACATTTATTTATGGCTCAACATCCGAGTTTAATAATAATAATAATAATAATTATGATGAAGAAAGGAAAAGGACAAAATGTTACGAGTTATGACAAACTGTCCACCAACGTAACCAGATCTTATACAGTCAGCGAGTGCGACAAAATGGCCTTGCCGAACCTGAGCCTTCCAAGTTGGAAGGTTGTTGCTTTGCGTCTTGGAGAAGTGTTGGAGCTAGGTGTCAGGTCGCCGAATGTCTCAGTACTCCTTGTCAGTTTTGTGCCATTTTGTCGCACTCGCTGACTGTATAAGATCTGGTTACGTTGGTGGACAGTTTGTCATAACTCGTAACATTTTGTCCTTTTCCTTTCTTCATCATAACTATAGTTATTGGCTCACCATCCGAGTTCAATAATAATAATAATAAATAATGTGAACGCACCGCTCAGGGGCTCGGATTTCACTTGCCAGCACTGTACATGTAATATTGTGTGAGGGGGGGGGGGGCGGGGGGGGGGGGGGGAGGACTGATTTGACTCTCCTGCCTGTCCACTTCGTTCTGCCATCACCATCAGGAAGTAGTACAGTGATATTGTCGTGTCAAAGAAATTTATTGAAATTCCATGATAATGTGATCGGAAAGATGATTGAAGAAAAATCCAAAGTTAAACTCAGGCAATTATTAGCAGTCACTACTATCAAAGCAGATCATTATTTGCAATAACGCAACTTGGAAAGCCGGCTAAAAATTCCAGACCAATAATAATTATTGCACTACTCCGTCGGCCTGATTACCATCAACACAAGTTGCAGTTGCAGCTGCCGTCGCTCCAGTTGTCGCTCTCTCAGGTTGTTGCGATTGCATGTTTACAGTGAACGCATAGGTACTGTTGTAATATGCTCTTGATCTACGTGCATGGTCTGGTATTAGCTGTATTGTATTGTGCATTCATTGAAGTTTCTGTTGTTGCCGTGTTACCTGTTGCCTCTGTTGATTTTCCAGGTAGCTCTGATGTTGGAGATGATCTTGGCGGGATGCTGGACGAAGTGGACTGGGAGAAGCGTCAAGCCGGTGCTGACGGTATTGATACGGGCAGGGACGGAGAAGGTAAGCTGAGTGGTACTGGTATGGATTTGAGTGATCAAGACTGAGGGTGTGTGAGGGCGTGCGTGTGTGTGTGTGTATGTGTGTGCGTGTGTGTGTGCGTGCGTGCGTATGTGAGAGAGAGAGAGTCGGCGATGCGTCCGCTCGTTTCTTAAATAGGAAATTCTTAGTGTACATATATTTAGTCTCTAGTCCTGATTGCTGCAGTTCTTGATTTGATTCCTGTTTTTTCTGTTTTGTGCCGTGCTCGTCATGGTTATCTATTGTAGCAAAAGTATTATAATAATACTCTTGATTGTAGTTGAATGTTTGGAAGCTATTCGGCAATGCATTCATAAGCCGAATGTCACGTGTGTTCAGAAGTATGGCACGTATAGTATCACTCTAGAATTGTTCAAATATTGTTCGTTATGTATTGTAGCACACATACACATAATGTACAATATACAATGTCCATCTTCACCTTCGTTATTTCTCACTTCCTCATTTTGTCTCTTCTCTTCACCCGCCCCTGTTATTGGTTCACATTTACTGGAACCTTTCGTACTTCACCTTCTTTTACTGTGTATTGTTTTCTACAAGCAATTGTTGAAACAGCCGGCGCCCACGTGTATGTACGCACCTCTTTTTAAAAAGGGTGTTTGTCCAATGCAAATAATAATATTATTGATAATCGCAGCTGTGTGTTATTTGTATGATCAACCTGCAGCATATCCGGCCTTTGTCTATGCGCGCGAGCTGCGAGTGCTCAAAGCGAAAGTCGCCAGTCTGGAGAAGCAGTATATACCAGAGGTGAGAGCTAAAACCTTATAAATAATAGTATGGTCTTAACAAACAAAATAAACAACACATGCAGTGTGCAGCATGCAAGGCGTTGGATGTCAGTGCCACATCAATTAATTTGGCTCCAATAGCGATTTAAAAAAAATCGTAACTTAACTTCGGCACGTATTCTTACTGCACGGTATTGGCTAGATCAAGGTTTGGGTCCTCTTTCCTCAGTGGAGACGAGTCGAGCTAGCTGTGCGTACGGTGACGATGCAGGTGTGATCACACCCCAGTGTGGCAACTTCCCCACTGTCTACGTCCCAAGACGAAGTGAAAACAAGACACCCATGGAAAGGTTCTAACGTTACAATGGCTCTCTCTCACTCTCTCTCTTTCTCTCTCAGGCTCTCACTCTCTCACACAGCAATTCCTTCTCCCCCCCCCCCATGGTGTCTGTGTGCGCCTTACTCCTGAGACCTTTGGTCGGGGGATCACACTTCACCTCACCGGCACACCTTTTATAATACCTACACGCCCTTTGTAGTCCACTTTGCTTTTTGTTGCTTAAAACATTTTACTCTCACGATGGCCTGTGGTCAATAAGAGAAGAAGAAATACAGGCATGGGGATCGGATAAAGAGTAATCAAAATTTGGCAGGGTGCTAAATTAGTAACGAAGCTAATGAAGCGTTTATCACACTGAGTGGACACAGTGGGGCTATACTCATGTATATGTATTATCCTGAGCAATGGGAAGCAATTGCATACCGAAGAGACAACAAGAGGTAGGATTTTCGTTTTTAGATCTCGTCTGGGGTTCACAATGTAGATGGGGAGTCTCTTTAAAAGCCGGCTTGTGCGTGTTGTGGGTAGGTCAAATGTTCCAGGGAAACTGAGTGTGTGAATGGGTTGGATCCGGGTTAGGTAAATTGCAAGAAGGTGTGGTGGTGCAGATCTATGATGCAGGATATGTGCAAGGAGAATACCGCACAGGTTGTTGTTGTTTCAAATCTTTATTCTCACGATAGCCAGTGGCCAATAAGAGAAATGTTGTTGTTGTTGTCGTTGTCGTTGTCGTTGTTGTTGTTGTTGTTGTTGTTGTTGTTGTTGTTGTTGTTGTTGTTGTTGTTGTTGTTGTTGTTGTTGTTGTTGTTGTTGTTGTTGTTGTTGTTGTTGTTGTTGTTGTTGTTGTTGTTGTTGTTGCTGTTGTTGTTGTTGTTGTTGTTGTTGTTGTTGTTGTTGTTGTTGTTGTTGTTGTTGTTGTCGTTGTCGTTGCTGTTGTTGTTGTTGTTGTTGTTGTTGTTGTTGTTGTTGTTGTTGTTGTTGTTGTTGTTGTTGTTGTTTTTCTATTCGATTCTATGTGGACATGTGAACTTTCATAAAACATAAAAAATATTATAAAGATTATCCTTTTTTTGCTTTGTATAAACATGGAAATTGTGGGCCAAGTTTTGATCGCATAACTTGTGCCCACACTTTCCATGTTACAAACGTTTTCCTTGGCTCACCATCTGAGTTCTTTTTTGCTTTTGTTCTCTTTAACATTGTGCTTAGGTTGGTGGTAAGAGCAGCTGCGATGTGGGCGTGGTAGGCCACAAGTACCAGAGCAATCACCCTCATGGACACGGAGGCACTACGCTTTCAAAGGGGCGCATTGCTCGCATGACATTCACCAAGAAGCGCGACAACACCGTGCTGCGCGTGACTTTCTCGGAGAACATCCGCGTGATGGGACGTGGCGTGGCCGTTCGCTGGTTCATAACGATCGACGGCCAAGAGTGCGTAAAGCCTTCCAAGCTTGATATCGCCATGTACCAAAGTGATCCAACCGAGAACAGTCCTATTCCGTCCGTGCTCGTGGGAATCTGCCAGGCCAACGCAGCGGGTCAGATCAAAAAGGGCACGCACAACATTGATGTCAACATCGGTGCCACCAGCTACCCGCTGGGCACGCCTCTCTCAGGCTTCTACTCCACCACGTTCTTCGAAGTGCAGGAGGTGTGTCCGGAGTTCTGAGCACCATTACGTTGCCTCCCTCCAAAGGCCATCATGTCATAATTCTTTTGCCGATGTTCACAGTTTAGTTTAGTAAAAAGGAGAAGGACTACAATGTTACGAGTTCTCCTTCCTGTTCCTGCTCTCTTTTTTTATCATAATTAAATTGGCTCACTATCCGAGTTTATTTAGTTTTAGTTTTATTCCACGCAAAAAATAGCTGAGGAAGTAACCAATGACCACTTTGTGCCACGATTGCAGGGTTTTTATACATGTACATATAGCCAACAATGGCTAGCAGGGAAAAGAGTGAGAAGTCGAAAAGGAAAAGATGAAAAGAAACAAATCAAAATAGAAGAAATGGAAACGAGTCACATGAATGAAGCAACTATCCACGACTGTAACAAGATAATAAGCAGCCAAAAATTGCGATAACAGGGCACAAAACTGACATGTTACTGTGACATTCAACGACTTGAGACCTACAACTAGCTCAAACACACCTCCAGTGCGCAAACCAACAGCCTTCCAGCTTGGAAGGTTCATACCGCTAGTACGTGAGGCAAGTGCCAGAAAGTGAAAGTCGCCTTCCACTCCCCCCCCCCCCCCTCCCCCTGGCGAAGAGGTTTTTTAGGCGTGGCGGGGTTGGCACTGGTTCACTGAGCAGCCTCGAAAATGTTGGCAGTCCAGGAGACGTGTGGTAGCCTCGCTGCGAGGCTTTTGTTTCCTTCGCCAATTGTCGAATTTAGACGTAGATTTAGCATCTAAAACTCTCCATTTTTTAAAAATAATTCACTGACTATAAGGCGCAAGCACTCGATATGACTAGGGTTGCGTGGTGGAATCAGGTTTCATGCGGATAAAATCAAGCGCGAGCGCGCTAAACCTTTTGTAGATTTTTTTGAGCTGTGCACTAAAATTGCTGTTGCTGTTCCCAATTTCAGTTGAGTCTTTTCCTTTTCTACAAATCACGACCCTTATCTTCTTTCCTTGACGGAGAAGTAACTCGACTACATTATTGTAATACAGTAGGTATCGCTGTTGCGGAGTTGAGGATTCTGCGCGTAATGCAACGACCCTGCAGCTATCTAACTAGAGTGCTGCCAACTGAAATCCGACCCCCCGAGCGGTGCACTCACGTCGCAAAGACCCGACGCGGGATGGTAAAAATACAAAACAGAGGAGACCGCTAGAATGTGAACCACCGCTCGGGGGGGGGGGGGGGGGGGGGTCGGATTTCAGTTGCCAGCACTGTAGTAAACGATTAGGTGGGTAGATCGATACCAAGCAGTATATCTCCTTCTTTGACCTTCCGGTATGCGGAGGTGATAAGGCCCTCTTCAGACTAGGTACAAAACAGCCTATAAGTCACATTTACATAGACATTTCCAAGACAACAAGAAATTTGATATTAATAAAAATAATTGAAACAAGACAAACTGGAAGAAACTGTGCAGCTCGACACCCGAGGAGAAATCAGTATCAGCAGCTACTACACCTAGCTGATGATGCTCACAAGACAGAAGCGGAAAAAACACTTAATTTCTTTATTTAGTGCTCTACTACGCGAAATGTGCTATTATTCCCGTAGCTATGAAGAAAACGTTACTTCAGTAACGTCTGGCGCTAGCCAGGATCCGCACAGCTTTAATTTGGTGTTTGTTTGTTTGTTTGTTTGTTTGTTTGTGTCACGGCTGGAGCTATCCCGTATCTGTCCCGTATCTGTGACTACAAAGGCTCTACAGGATTGTACATAACAGCTGTCCACAATATTTGCGGGCCCCTGTATCTGTCCCGTACCGTACCAATATTCGTCGTATTATGTATACGACTCCCTGATGTAGAGGGAAATTTGGAAAGAAATAGGGAGACGAGGAGGAAATTAATAGACGCCGAATAGGTGATAGGATGCGTCAGCATAAACATACTTTGGAAGAGAGATCCCGTCGTCTCCAAAATAAGCGTGAACGAGCGATTCAGCGCCGGTCACAGGAAACGTCGGAAGAGAGATCCCGTCGACTCCAGAACGCCCGTGATCGGCAGAGTCCGCCGGTCCCAGGCAACGTCAGGACAGACATCCCGTTGAGTCCAGAACGCCCGTGATCGGCAGAGTCTAAGCCGGTCCCAGGAAACGTCAGGACAGACATCCCGTCGAGTCCAGAACGCCCGTGATCGGCAGAGTCAGCGCCGGTCCCAGTAAACGTCAGGACAGACATCCCGTCGACGCGCAGAAAAACTAAATCTGCAGCCTATTTTGCCGTCGGACAGGATACGTATTTTAGGAGACTGTAAAGTTATGTAATGTGCTCCACAGGCAACCATGCATTCGGCGTCGTCATTGGCTCAACAGATCAATGTACATGTATTACTACAAAAAGGCCAGAAAATCCGAAAATCAGAAAATCCGATTACTGTATTAAAATCAACTAATTTTCGCTGATTTCGCTGCTTGGTACCAACCGGCCAAAGTAAATCGCAGGCCAAAGTTTGTCATAATTATAGGCAAATGATGCATGATTGAGCAATGGATGCAGGTGAGAGCAAAAATACCGATCGATTTCAAATTTGACGTGAAATTGCGCGTCACGTCGGAAATAACGTGCATCTTAACCCCTCTAATAGAGAGGTTTCTATTTCTCATCGGCCAAAATTTGTTGATTTACAGTATAAGGAGATAAAAAGAAAAGAAGGAGCAAACCACTCCCTGCTCAATACACAGTGTTTCGGGGAATTCACCCCTCATCAGTTGAGCTTGAGTAGGCTGAGGAAGATTGTGCCTGAAAAGCACAACTGATGAGGGGTGAATTCCCCGAAACACTGTGTATTGAGCAGGGAGTGGTGCTTTCTTTCAGGTTTGCCGAGCGGAAGGTTCGACGTGCTCCTCGTGTGCTCCGGATGGCAGTCGTGAGTCAGTCAAGTGTCGAGTTTGGCAAGAAGCGTGTGCTCCTCGTTGGAGCAACCAACTTCATGACTATTACCGCCGAAGTCGCAACTTCTAAGTTATTATTATTATTTAAAAGTAGTGGTTGCGACTTCGGCGATGACTTGTAAGAAAGGGTTTGCTCCCCACACCGGAGCTCGCGCTCCCGGAGCTCGCGTTTGTATCCCTGGTGATGTTTGTGCCTGGAGAGCACTATACAAGTGGTGCTCTTCAGGCACAATCTTCCTCAGCCTACTCAAGCTCAACTGATGAGGGGTGAATTCCCCGAAACACTGTGTATTGAGCAGGGAGTGGTGCTTTCTTGCAGGTTTGCCGAGTCGAAGGTTCAATGGACTTCTCGTGTGCTCTGGATGGCAGTCGTGAGTCAGTCAAGTGTCAAGTAAAGTCGGCGGAATAGCGCGAGCTCCGGTGTGGGGAGCAAACCCTTTATTATTATTATTATTATTATTATTATTATTAAGCTTCCGTGGAGATAAAAATGTAATCAACGCAATAAATAGAGTAAGCTGCGCACTCAGTACAAACACCATTAGCAAAACTTGTTTTCATGTATAATAAATAAGCTTGTTCCTAAACGCTTTCGTCGCCATCTCATCAGAGGATTACTGGCAAATCAACAAAAGCTTTTTTAAAACTCAATATATATACGCACAATGCAAGTAATAATTTAGACCCTAACTATGTGCGTATATATATTGAGTTAAGAGCTTTTGTTGATTTGCCAGTAATCCTCTGATGAGATGGCGACGAAAACGTTTAGGAACAAGCTTATTTATTATACATGAAAACAAGTTTTGCTAATGGTGTTTGTACTGAGTGCGCAGCTTACTCTATTTATTGCGTTGATTATTATTAATAGCAATGAAAAGTATGAATGCCGCAGACATCACCACGCAACATGACAATTTGTTCAAGGTTTGATTTTGGAAACACACAAAACCAAACCTTGAACAAATTGTCATGTTGCGTGGTGATGTCTGCGGCATTCATACTTTTCATTGCTATTATTAAACTTTTATCTCCACGTAGATTATTTGATTATTATTATTATTATTATTACTATTCAAACAATAGTTTGGAGGCGGTGGGAAAACAGTTTCGTAATAAGTATTCGCATGCAACGACGCAAATCCACACAATTCAGTAGACACTTCTTTTCTATCAGACGTTTTCTTTCCCTTCTCTTCAGGATAGTACTGGGAATGTTGGAAATTAGAAAAACACATAACTATGTAGAGAATGAAAGAAAGAAAAAAGTCAACACTTCAACATAGGTGTTAAAATGATTAAAGTGTTAAAAACTCAAAAACAAACAGCTGCAAGTTGTAGACAAACACGTTGAACACATCAGGGAACATCAATCACATCAGGGAACATCAATCATCAGTCACACCACCGGGACTCGAACCAGGGACCTTGCTATTCGCGAGCAATGCTCTAACCAACTGAGCTACAGTATGCGAAGCTGAGGCAACTCCACCCCGCCAAAGCCACGGGTCCAGATGGCATCCCCGGGCGTGTACTCCGGCAATGCAGCAAAGAGCTGGCTGCACCAGTGTCGCGGCTCTTTTCGCAGGCCTTCCACCAAGGTCGGCAACCTACAATGTGGAAGACGGCAATGGTTGTGCCGGTGCACAAGAAAAAATCCAAGTCTGATGTTAAGAACTACCGCCCGATCTCCCTCCTCTCTATTCTGTCGAAAGTCATGGAGGCCATTATTAACCACTCAATCCGACAGTTCCTGGAGGCACACAACATCTTATCGAAAAGTCAGTATGGCTTCCGCAGCCAACTCGGCACCCAGGACATACTCACGCTACTCAACTACCAATGGAGTCGCGTTGCAGCCAGAGGTGGTGTAGTTCGAGTCATTGCAGTTGATGTGGCTGGCGCATTCGACCGCGTCTCTCATGTAGGCGGTTTGCACAAGGCACAATGCTATGGTGTAACTGGTCCACTTCTCGCTTGGCTGAGGGATTACCTGACTGATCGTCACTTGAGGGTTGCAGTTGGAGGTGAACTTTCCAGTCCGTACCCGACCAAAGCTGGCGTGCCGCAGGGCAGTATCCTTGGTCCCACCCTGTTCATCCTCTACACCAATGATGGCGAGGACCACCTCCCACCAGGTATGGAGCTAGCAGCCTACGCTGACGACACCACTCTCTTCCACTGCCTCACATCAAGAGCTGACATTGACTGTGGCTCCGAGCTCCTCCAGCAGGGCATTGATGCGTTTTCCCGTTGGGGACATAAGTGGAGGATCAAATTTGAGCCCTCCAAGACGCAGGCTATGTCTATAGGCCACCATCGCCAG